AGCTGAATGATAGGGAATTAGACATTTTTCCAGTGGATGATATTGGAGGGTGAGAGATTGGAGCTAGGCTAGCAATTCCAGCTAATGTGGACAATATTTACCCTGTTTGCTGTGGCAGTTTCTAAGCCTAACACCATGCTCATTTCACTGAATGATTACAGTATGTATTTGTTCAGTAAATAAATAGACAAAGGGAGACAACTGAGGTGCCAGTGAAGTTTTGGGAAGCATGCATAAAAAGTTGAATTTGACCTTCTTAAAAGAAATGTGACCACTAAGAGATAAGATGCAAAAAGAGAAGAAAAAACAATCAGAAGACAGATCCTTGGAGAATGCCTTTTTAATTTGGGATGGGAAAAAAAAAAAAAAAGATAAGTGAGTGAAAGGTAATTAGAGGGAGAGGAAAAGTACCAAGATGGTATGATTTTACATTGGCAGCAATGTGGAGAAGGGATTGGAGGAGAACAAGCCTAATAGCAGGAGAGAGAGAGAGAGAGGGAGAGAGAGAGAGATCAAGAAGCAAATTTTTGATTAATAGATTCAGAGAGGCTAAGAAAGCTTGATCTCAGAAAAAGATGATTGGATTTAGTGAGTAGGAGATCATTATTGACAGATGATAGGGAAATTTCAATAGTAAAATCAGGGTCAAAGTTTGCAAGGGGTTAATGTCAGAAATTTAGTGAGGAGAGAAGAGATATTTTCAGTGGGCTCCAGATTTTGAAGTCAGGATTGCTTGGTGATGCAGCTTTTATCAGACTTTGCACAAGCTGCAAAGGGGCTGTCACTATTCCTGCTTATGAAGCAGCCTATGCTGTTTCATTGAGTGAATGGCAATTTAGTATAAAAAATGTAAAACAAAAATAAATCATGCCCTGTTCTTTTTTTGCCTCTCTACTAAATAATCACGCAAGATCCTCCAGACTGTATCGAGTATGCTACATTAGCAGCACCAATGAGCAGAATGACCCATGAGGAAAAAATGGGAGGTGGATGCACCATCAGCATTGTTATTGGCTTATATCATCTGGGCTTGTAATAAAAAGTGCAATAATCAGCAAATTACTTACACCCAGGAGATGATAATTTCTGCTGTTTGACCTAAAGTGTCTTTTAAAAGGACTTCCCTTTGCTGAGCTTCTCAAAGTTCATATTAAATATTTTATTAAAGTAGAACTCAGTAAGAGCATCTTTACCTACCAGTTTGCAATCAGTTTTGAGTCTCAAGACATGAATGCAACTTTAATATTAATCAGCATAATCATTCAGAAAGTTGTAATAGTGTTTCATAAGGTGATTATATGGGCCGTGGAACTAGAGGTGAAACTGATCTTTTCTGTTCCTTCCTCTGCCTCCAGAGATGACATAGGAAAATAATGAATATATGTAGGGTGCTGTTATTATCTAACTAACTTTGGAAAGCTATCTTTGGAATTATGTGCTTGTGACACATTATTTGGATATTCTCAGTGATAGTAAATCCTGTCTTTGAAGATGGATATAATGGCTTTAAAATTTGGAAGGATATAAGTTAGGAAAATGGCTTTAAAATTTGGAAGGATAGCTGGGAAATAAAGTTGAGATCATAATGAGCAATTTAATTTCTAATCAAGTGAGGAGTAATTTCAAGGCAGTGCGCCTAAGATTCTTGTGTATTTTGTCAACAGGGTCATGTATCTGTCGTATACTGGGGAAAGCATCAGTGTTAGAATGCAAAAATACTCTGGGGTATTTGGGGTATAGAATGTTAGAAGTGTAGCACAAAGTTCTTTGTTTTTGTTTTGTTTTATCTTGAGATGATCACTGCAAACTGGATAAACAAAATACCTCAGCTCAGGTCAGCATTCTGATTGATTCCTGGTTGTAAATTTCAATGATATCCTTATCATGCTTAGGGACAAAGACAGTGACTGACTTAAGGTAAAGAGAGAGAGAGGAGCAGCGTTGACGAAATGACTGTTAATTGTATGTATAGAAAAGAGACATGGAGAGAGAAATACCTAGAAAAAAAAAGAAGCTACAGACAAATAGACAATTGAATATGTACCATGAAGAGATAAAGGATAAGGGAAGAGGATTTGGAAGGACCAGAGATAGTCAGGAAAGAAAGGCCATTGTTACCAAATTATGCTCATTGGAGAATTAGCTGAATTGCCTGAAAAAAAAGTGCCTTTTGAATCAGGTGAATTATAATTTCTTGTGAAGTCTTGTACAGCTTGTGCCTGTTGTTGGGCCAAAGCCAAGTGTTTCTAGATGGCCACAATGACCAGGAGGCCCCTTGACAACTCACTTCAGAGTCTAAAACAAATGGAAAATGAAAGGTATGGCTCCTTATTAAGACTGTCTATGCATTCAAACAGGAGCGTCCTTTATCAAGCATTCTGCTGATACTGTTGCTACTGTCCCCATCAGAGCTCTTTCCCTTATGAGGAGAAGAAGAGGTCTCATTAATAAATCAGATCGCCTGATATTCCTATAGTATTTAGATAACATGCCAGCACTTCATGGAAAATGAAATAAGATCAACCCAGAGGGAATTTTATAGCAATTTCCCCTTTTTATATGTCATATGGAATCATCAATTTCTGAACAAACTTAAGATTTAAGATGTACATGTCAGTACACATATATCCATTTATAAAATAAGAAATCACCGTAGAATTTGCCTAGAAGGGTTTTAACTAAAAAATGGAAGGGTTTTTTCACTTATGTGAAGAATGAGCCCAGTCAAACACATTAAAGGTTATTTTCAACTTCTGTACTCAGACAAGGACAAAATATGAACATAAATAAAGGGCAGAAATCTCATCTCTATTTTATGTTAAAGTTTGAAATGAATGTAAAGGAATATATTCAGTTTTCTGAGCTACATTAGACTACCATGCAGAAGATTGGTAATAAAGGAGGAGATGCAATTGATATAGTACACAGATAAAACCTAGAAATCCTAGAAAACTTATGTTAGAAAGACAGAAGTAAGCTGAAGATTAGTAAATACCTAGGAAAGGAAAGGAAATATTTCATAAATAAAAGGAAAATGGAGATATTTGATAAATAAAAGCCACTCACAGAAATAACCAATCTTGCTTTCCTTTCCTTGCATATCATTTAATACTTGCTGAAAACTATTGCCTATTATTTATTGATTGTCTGGAATTGGTTATTAGAATCTGTATGTATTGTAGCAATGCTCTTATTCATGAAGCAAATCTATTTTTCTACAGATATTCTATTTTTTGTAAAGGAAATAAAATGAAATAAGATTGCACTGGTCTTATCCTTTAAAAGGGATTAGTTAATTTGAAAGGATGCTTGGTATTATGCTCTGGTTTGTTGTAGATTATGTTACTGGATAGCTTATTTCCATTTCCTTGGATTGAAATAACCCTTGAGATTTAAAAAAAATATCAGGTATTTAATAATTTAAAGCTGTGTGGTTGACCTGAGTTGGTGGAATTAAGCATTGTGGCATGGGTGGTTTCTATAGGGCATTTCAGAGGTTTCAGTCTTGGATGAGGTAACCCTTACTTCTCAGATATTTTCAGATTTGTGTTTCAAAAAATTATTCTGGCTATATTGTGGAGAATTGAATGGAAAGGGAATATTGGATTAAGGATGAAGTTGGGCAGGTATTCCAATAATCCAAGTGAGAAAAACAGTATTATCCATTAGTTAGATACATGGACTTTGAATCCAGATGCCTAGGTTTGAACACAGCATCTTTCACTTACTAGCTGTGTGACCTTGGGCCAATCACTAAATCTTGTGTTTCAGTTTTCCTATCAAAATCCCTATTTGGGAATAATAATAGTTCCTGCCTCAAGGGTTTTCATGGGAAACAAATGAGTTAATGTGCCATAGATCGTGCCAGCCACAAGGCAAGTACAATGTTAGTATAGGCTGTTAATGAACTTGGATGATTGGAATAGAGATACAGATAAGTAGACCACATTTGAGTATATTTAGATATTATCATAAACAATAATTATTGATTGACTATGGGGAAAAGGGTAGGAGAAGGTGTTTTTCATATGCCATTTACTGTATATCATTAGAGGGTAAGGGGTTGTAGAGTGATGGGGATTTTCAAATAAAATATTACTTTTTTAAGGATTATGGTCCTAAATCAGAATATTTTGGTAATATTCTTTGTTTCATATGGGTAAGTGAAGTCCATGAGAAAGATTAAAATTAGAGGTTCTGAACTCCATTTAATTGCTACTTGACTGAGAGACCCAAGGTTGGAGGTCTCTTTCTGGTGATATGTCTTTTTGTGTATCATGTGAGTCTTGAATCTGGTTTCTCTTAAAGAACTTTGGGTCAGCATTAGAACTCTTCATAAGCACTCTGACCTTCTAGTATGAAGCATCCTTAACACAATAAAGCCTTTTAAAGAATCATAAATTAGAGGGAATGAGATGTTATGAATGTGTATAAATGCCAGGTAACTGTAGTTTGTTCTTCATATAACTAATGAGTGTTACTTACACTTATTTTTAGAGATTTATTTATTTGAAAGAGAGAGAGAAAGAAAGAGTGTGCATGTAGGAGTGCGGGGAGGGGCAGAGGGAGAGAATCCTCAAGCCGATTGCCTGCTGAGCATGGAGCCCACACTGGAGCTCCATCTCAAGACCCTGAGATCATGACCTCAGCCAAAACCAAGAGCTGGTCGCTCAACCAAACTGAGTCACCCAAGAGCCCCTATGCTATTTTTTCAATGTGGCTGTCCTAAAATAGGTTTCCACTTACGTGGTTTGTTAAAAAAATAATATATATTTTCTTGTAACCAAAATTACTTTTTAATGCTTTATAATTCTTTGAATTCCTCAAAGAGAGTGCTAAGTAAATAAGTCCTCAGATATTGGATGGATCATTGATATAAATTCTATATTTTTTCAATTTGATTATTTTATGTTTCATATAACAGGGCACTGAATTTTAGGCAAATCTGTGTTATTGTATGCCAATTTCAATGATTTATCCTTTCTATTTTTCCTATTCAGTCTGCTCTCAGTTTTCAAGAGGAGTCTATGCTATTTTTGGATTTTATGACAAGAAGTCTGTAAATACCATCACATCATTTTGTGGAACGCTCCATGTCTCCTTCATCACTCCCAGCTTCCCAACAGATGGCACACATCCATTTGTCATTCAGATGAGACCTGACCTCAAAGGAGCACTTCTTAGCTTGATTGAATACTACCAATGGGACAAGTTTGCATATCTCTATGATAGCGACAGAGGTAAGTAAAAATACCCTTATGCCTTTGTAATGGGTCAAATTCAATGCCTACACTTGACACTTGCAAGTGATGTTATAGAATAACACTTACATGTGATGTTATGGACATGTGGTGTTAAAGTCCAGAGGTCACTTGGTTTAATTTTTCTGTGTAAATGAATAATGCAATTTGAAACTTGAGAAACATAGAGTTTTAAAAAAAAGTTGTGAATATTCAATTTAAAGATATAGACTCTGCCAACCCAATGCCCAGATGTTCAGTTGTAATGCAAATAGCACCTTCTCACATCAGCAGCTAAGACTCTATGGGGACTACATTACTAGTCGAAGGTCAGTGAAGTGACTGCCTTGAAAACTGGTTTAAGTGAAACTGAATAAATATGTAAATAAGGACTTCTAGAGAAATTAATAGCAATTAAATATTTTCACATACAAAAGTTTTATGAGGAAGGTATGACTGTCATTAACCTTGCTTTAAAATGACATCCCTGAATCTCAGAGGAGTTAAAGGACTTGCTCATGATCCACTTGAGCAGCTGGTACAATTTTTTTTTTAAGATTTTATTTATTTATTTGACAGAGAGAGACACAGCGAGAGAGAGAGAACACAAGCAGGGGGAATGGGGGAGGGAGAAGCAGGCTTCCTGCTGAGCAGGGAGCCTGATGTGGGACTCGATCCCAGGACCCTGGGATCATGACCTGAGCCGAAGGCAGACGCTTAATGACTGAGCCACCCAGGCGCCCAACAGCTAGTACAATTTGACCCAGGTCTTCTGACACCAGACGCATGCATTTTCATAATTCTAGGTTTATGATGAGATGTTATTGATTAGCATACTATTTGGATAGAATCTTGGCTCATTATACTAAAGTTGTGTTTTCAGGGGCGGTTACTTCCATCGTGTTTTCCACATCTCTTGTTGGAAAGTTTGGTAGTAACAGACCTGCTTGATGTATGTGTCATAGAATTCCAGATGTTCTTTTTTTAAAATTTTATTTATCTATTTATTTATTTGTTTATTTATTTATTTTTTTAAGTATAGTTGACACACACTGTTGCAGTAGTTTCAGGTGTACTACATAGTGATTCAACAACTCTGTACATTATGCTTTGCTCACCACAAATGTAGCTCCCATCTGTCACCATACAACACTATTACAATACCACTGACTACATTCTTTTATTCCCAAGACCTATCATTCCATAACTGGAAGCCTGTATCTCCCACTCCCCTTCACCCATTTTGCCCAACACCCCACCCTTCTCCCCTCTGGCAGCCATCAGTTTGTTCTCTGTATTCTCTGTTTTCTGTATTTTATAGTTTGTTCTCTGTATGTATAGGTCTCGTCCTGCTTTTTAAAAATAGATTCTGATTTTGTTTGTTTATTCATTTGTTTTGTTGTTTAGATTCCACATATAAGTGAAATCATGTGGTATTTGTCTTTCTCCATCTGTCTCACCTAGCATGATACCCCCTAGATCTACCCATGTTGTAAGAAATGGCAGGATCTCATCCTTTTTTATGGCTGAGTGATATTCCATTATATATACACCACATCTTATTTATCCATTCATCTATTAGTCAAGACTTGGGCTGCTTCCATATTTTGGCTACTGTAACTAATGCTGCAGTACACATAGGGGTGCATATATCTTTTCAAATTAGTGTTTTAATTTTCTTTGGAATCTCAGATGTTCTTAACTATTCCTGGGTATATGATTTGGCCTCAGTGGGTGTACTTAACTAAAGTTGAATGAACATTTTGTGCACATGTTTGCATATGTATTTTTCTAAAGACAGTACCCATAACCAAACTCAAAAGGATTAAGAACCACTATTGTAAGAGTACCTAAGTACCAAACTGGGCTTCCTTCAGCAGCTTGCTTCCTGGAATATTTAAAGGTTCAAATGAAACCCAGAAGCCTGTTTCTACCAAGACAGGGCACCTTGTTAACCTGCAAGGGCAGACAAGAAGAGAGCCAGCTGTCAGTCAGTTCGCCATTGATTAGTCTGTAGTCATTTGCTGCAGCAATCCCATCTGGAGTGCTCAAGCTAGGTGTCTGATTCTCTGCCCTGTCCTCCCAGAATGAGAATACTCCGTGGAAAAGCCTGTCAGCACTCTACAAGCTGAAAAAAGTTGTTATGTCAACAACTTCTACCCCCTGCTTTGAGAAGGGAGAGCTTTGCTATTCCTATGAGGAATGAAAAATTAAAACAGAACCATTTAAAGAAAATGTGGATTGCAATGTGCTGGGTGATTCCGAAGCATACTTCTTATTAATGTGATAAAAGGCTTACAAAACTGAGCTTATTCATAGGCTTTCCTCCTGATCTCTGCTAACTGCATTAGAGCTCTGTTACGTTAATAAAACTAGCCTGAAGTCTTCGAGTATTCTGAATGCCTCTTTCACCCTTGCATCCTGTTGCAGTGATTTCTACCACACAAATATATTTTATCTCTGGACCCTCTTCTTCATTGTCTTTGCTCCAGGCCAGGCCACCACCACATGTTCCTTCTCTCCCCTCTCCATTTCCACACTTGCTTCTCTTTAATCCATTTTCCACAAAGCAGCTGCAATGTGTAAATTCTCTTCAATGCTTTTCTGACCTTATCATTCCTCTGCTTAAAACACTTCTCATTAAAATGAAGATAAAATTGAAAATCCCTAACATGGCTCTAAGTTCTAGTTCCTGACAATTTATGCTACTGTCCTGCTCACTCACTAAGCTAAATCCATCTAACTAACCTTCTTTCACTGTCTCCAGATGCACCAAACCAAACCCTTTCACCCCAAATCTCTGCACACGCCTCTAGTTCTTTCTCGTCCTTCACGTCTTAGCTTACAGAACATTTCCACAGAGCTGCGTTTCATACTGTTATTCTTTCACAAAGAAGTCTCCTCTTTTCCTACATAGTACTTATCTCAATTTATAATTAATAGTAGTATTTGTTCTTTTACTCAAGAACTGCTATTGAGCTCCTACTATGTTCCAGGGACAGTTTTAGTCAAACAGGCCAAACATTATGTCTTTTATTTGTGTCCTGGGTATAAGCCCCAGGAACGCAATGTCCAGGCAGTACCCATTACACTGGGTGTCCAGTTCCTAACTGTACACACAGCACTTAAGATGATACTGGAACAGAGCTGATATTGAATAAATAGTATTAATAAGGGTTAAGCATCTGTGTTTTTTAAGTTTGAGATGATATGAGAACCTGAATCTTGCTGGCGAAGTTGAAAGATCAGAAGATGAATTCTGTTTGACGAAGTCGAAGGTGGCATTTTTCTTTAGGGACATACTTCACCCTCAGTGTGACTCCCTCTAGGTGAACATGAACTTTTGGGAAAAGTCATATAGACAACAGAGGCCATAAATAGAAAAAGAGAAACTCTAGTATTTGAAGAGAGGTACTGAAGAAAAACTCTGGGAGATGATCAGGTGAAGATATATGAGTTTATGTACTTGTGAAAAGAATATGAAACATTTTGAAGTCATTTTATTAATACATGCTTTGGAAATATTAAATGAAATTGAAGTGATGAGATAATTTCCAGTCATGAAATTGTACAAGTTGATTTGGGTTTAAGTTCATCTTTTGAGAGAAGAATATTAGAAGAATATTATAGTACTATATATTAAAGTTAAGTATTATATATTAAAGCCAAAAACGGCCTTATGGACACATTTTCAAGGTATTATCAAATAGCTGTTCCTGTCTTAATATGAACAGTGTTACACTGGATCTGAAACTATTTTCAGAGATAAGTGTGTAAGACTCAAAATATTAGTAAAAGACTTGATCTTTACATAGTGTTTTACTTGGATCAAGGAAATGGGATTTTGTTATCCAATTAAGGGAACAAAGATGCATGCTTATAATCACATAACACTAAATAAGGAGGTACTTCCTTGAAGTGTATGAGGTTAAGGGCTGAAGAAAAGTAACAATCATGCAATAAATGCATGAATGAACTTTTTAAAATGTAATATGATGGCAAAGCAATGAAAATTAAGGCAGTAATAAAAAAATTGCTATGCATGCTTTAGAAATACATTCTATGAATTCATTTCCCAGTATATCTCTACATGCTTCAGTTTCAAACAATTTGGTCTGTCCTTGATGTGGCACTCTCTGGATCTGGCCACTCATGGATTATAAGGGTTTTTTTTTTTTTTTTCAACTTTAAAAAAATTTTATTTTAATTCCAGTTAGTTAACATACAGTGTTATATTAGTTTCAGGTGTATAATACAGTGCTTCAACACTTCCATACAATACCCGGTACTCACCACAACAAGTACACTCCTTAATCCCCATCACCTATTTCACCCATCCTCCCACCCACCTCCCCTCTGGGAACCACCAGTTTGTTCTCTAGTTAAGAGTCTGATTCTTGCTTTGTCTGTCTCTCTTTCTCTTATTTTTTCCCTTTGCTTGTTCATTTTGTTTTCTTAAATTCCACATGTGAGTGAAATCATATGGTATTTGTTTTTCTCCGACTGACTTATTTTGCTTAGCATTATACTCTCCAGCTCCATCCATGTGGTTGCAAATGGCAAGATATCATTCTTTGTGTGTACATAACACATCTTATCAATTCATCAATAGATAGACACTTAGGCTGCTTCCATGTCTTGGCTATTGTAAATAATGCTGCTATAAACATAAGGGTGCATGTATCCCTTTGAATTATTATTTTTGTATTATTTGTGTAAACACCCAGCAGTACAATTGCCAGATCATAAGGTTATTTTTAACTTTTTTAGGAACCTTCATCCAGTTTTCCACAGTGGTTGCACCACTTTGTATTCCCAACAGTTCATGAAGTTTCCTTTTTTGCCACATCCTTTCCAACACCTGTTGTTTCTTGTGTTGTTGATTTTAGCCATTCTGACTGGGGTGAGGTGATATCTCATTGTAACTTTGATTTGCATTTCCCTGATGACTGGTGATAATGAGGATCTTATCATATGTCTGTTAGCCATCTATATGTGTT